CTGCGTAACTACTGGAACTGTAAGTGTGAAGATTTGAATCTCGCAAAAGTTTTGTTGAGATTGGAGTGGACCCATCACTGAAATAAATGGAAATATGTTGCATTGTTTTTCACCCTTACCATTATTCTACTGATTGTCTGAAGCATTCCTTCATTGCAGGAAACAAGACTGCTTACCCTAATTGAAGGTGTTCTTGCTGCAAACATTTTTGATTGGGGATCCCGTGCCTGTGTTGATCTCTATCATAAAGGAACAATTATTGAAATATATAGAATGAGTCGCAAAAAGATGCAAAGACCATGGCGTGTAGGTGAACTGAAAATAAAATTCTTTTGGGAAAAATTATATTAACAATAGAATATCTTTCCTTCAAATTAATTGTTGGATAATCAATAGAAGGTTTTTGTTCGTGTATTTAGGTGGATGATTTTGATCTTTTTAAGGAGAGAATGTTAGGGTCTGGAGACAACAAACCTCCACCACATAAAAGAGCACTACTCTTTGTGGACAACTCAGGTGCTGATGTGATCCTAGGAATGCTGCCACTAGCACGGGAACTCCTCCGACGGGGAACTGAAGTAAGTGTTTTCTCAGTAGTGTTAATGAAATGGTTCTGAATATTTTTAATTGAAGTTTATATTAATAGAAACCCCAATCTAGGAATGCTTTTCTCCACTTTGTGAAGTCTGATTTAATAAAGGTTTATTGGTAATTGTGCGAATGGGGTCATGAAGATGCAATTCACCAATCTCTCCCCTGCCCCCCACCCCCTCCAGGAGGAGACAGAGGAGGAGGATATGGAGACATATAGATTCATTATGATTGATGAAAGTTGATATGATTTTTTTGCAAAGGATTGCATAACTAGCTGTTCAAATGATCGATGTTACCACGTTACTGTTGTCAAAACCATATGATATGAAATTAGGATCTTAGGATTGCATTACACTATTGAACAACATATTTGACATTTTTGACTTTATCGTATGAAATGACTAGTAAATGTATGATAAATGGCTACTATGTGATATACATCGTATTGAATTTTCAGGTTGTGCCCAGTTGATTAGGGTGTGAGCCTGAAACAAAGGAACTTAGGACTAACTTTATAGCTACCATTGGTGTTACTTTGTACTTTGTAGGCTTAACATTTTCTTTAACAGTGTTGTCTCCATGCTTGCCATGAGTAACAAGGATATTTTTACAGGTTGTTCTGGTTGCAAACTCACTCCCTGCACTAAATGATGTTACTGCTATGGAGCTTCCTGATATTGTGGCTGAGGCTGCCAAGGTTAGTGATGGACTATATGCATAAATGCTAACCAATTATTTTCTTCCACTGAATCCTGGTGTTAGTTATCATGATGTAGTTTAGTAAGAGACCCACCAACTAAAAATAGCATGTAATGTTGCCATTTTTCTTCTTCTTCTTCTTCTTTTGGTGTGTCATAGACATGTAGCTATTAATAATTTATGCTGATGTGGAAGCTCTATGTGATATCCTATGTTATATGGACTTCTCAAAATAAATCAAATATCTATTTCGGACACACTTCGACAATAGTACGGGATATATATATATATGATACTTTTCCATCAGACATTTTTTATAAATAATACTTTCCATTGGACACTTTTTATAAATTTGTATTTAACACTATCATTATATGTATATATTGTTGTATGATTGTTATTAAATGAGTAATTTTTGACATAGTATGTTACATTTTATCACTGTTTAATCTCACATAATAGATTAAACATGTAAAATGACCCTATTTTTCCAAATACACACTCTTAAATTTGAGGTTTGATGGGCTTCCATCCTTTAAATACACTCCCACACCTGACACCTATACCTAAGTCCATGTGACATGGTGATATCCATAAGTTGCACCAAAATACTGAAAGAAATTTGGATTAATTAGTGAAACAAGTTTTCTGATCTATACCAATATTCAAGGTAATTGATGTGTAAACATTGCTTGCCCATGTAACTACAGAACCATGTTAGCCATTTTTGATATTCCACTTCATGATTTATTGCTTTGAGTTCCCATTATACCTCTGCACATAATTTTGGAGGCTCGTTTGCTTTGCCCATCAACACAAGAAACTGATTCCTCTGGTCCACAGCATTGTGACATTATTCACAGGGCCGCTGAAGCAGGAGGCCTACTAGTGGATGCAATGATTAACATCCAAGATGCTTCCAAGGAAAATTCCGTCTCTGCAGTTCCTTTGATGGTTGTTGAGAATGGTTGTGGAAGTCCCTGCATAGACTTGAGGCAGGTTAGCTCAGAGCTAGCTGCTGCTGCGAAAGACGCTGATTTGGTACAATGCTGTTTTCTTCTAACTTTGTGATTTTGTTTTGTTATGTATAGGCATGTTGGCTTGATCATATGACTCAGAATTTTTCTTGCAGATCATATTGGAAGGGATGGGTCGAGCTCTACATACCAACTTCAATGCTCGGTTTAAATGTGATGCTTTGAAGGTAAGAGTCTACCATTCTGTGATATTTTTGGAATGCAAGGATAGAAGGCATTTGGTGATTTCGCGTGTTCCTATCAATTGGTCTAACAATGAAAATTGTCCAACTAATGAGATTTTCGGACCTATAAAACTAAAGGGTTTGTCTACCTTTTATGAGTAGAAATATTAGAAGGCCTCACACGTAAGAACTGTGTCTGCTTTAGAGGGCCTTTAACCATAAATAGTGCACGAATAAACTTTATTTCCAAACTACAATAAAATGTGATTATTAATCACTTTTTTTTCTTGAAAAGCGTTATTGTAACAACATTTTTTACTTAAATGTAAACACATGGAGAAAAATAGAACATGAAAAGGTTGTTCAAATAGTGTTCTACATTGAGTAAAAAAACATGTTTAGTATGAAAATGCAGTTGCTAATTACGTTTTACCTTAGTTTAGGAATAAAGTTTGTCTATACACTATTTGTTTAATTTTGAATTAAAAAAGTGGTAAAAGCCCCTTTTAAGTTTCTGGCTGCATTAGGAGTGCCGAAGGCAGATTTTCAAGGTCTTTTAGACTCGTTGTCTAACAAGAACATTCCTTTTACAGCTTGCAATGGTGAAGAATCAGCGGTTGGCGGAAAAGTTGATTAAAGGAAATATATACGAATGTGTCTGCAGATATGAACCTGCCGGAGATCAAAGCTCGTCATCAAGTTTCTGTTAATCAACCTTGATGAAATCATTTGTCTTTGACGGTTAAATCTTTGGATTAACATATTGTTTTCTACATCTTTTTGTTTTCATTTTTAGTTATTTAGTTACTTCACTTGCCTCGTGCTTTACCTGATTTCCGAAGCATGCAAATTTTAATACTTTTTTGCCTACTAATGTGTAATTTAGTGAAACAACACACTGTACTTTATGGTGCTTCTGTTTTCAAGATTTAGGATAATGTTTTCAAAAACAGTACCAGAAAGGTTTCGAAATAAGTATGGGTTGTGGATATTTCGGTGTTTTCTCAAGTTTTTACTGCTCGGCCAGTCCCTTGGTCTACAAATTCATTTGAATTATCTTCAGTTGGTTGCAATTGCTGTGATCAAGATTTGAACGCTTGCTTTTGCTTTTAAACAAAATTACCAACGGTGAAAAATATATATGTATATTTTTTTCACAATTTATGAGCTAAGACGACTATAAAACACCTGAAGCAAACTCATCCCACTTTGTTTTAGAAAATATCAAACATGATCCATTCTTTTTTATTTTATTTTATTTTTGGTCCTTCAACAAATGTTCTTTATGACTGCCCCTTGAATTGAAGTGAATTCATTTCAACAATATACATGCAACAATGATAAATAATTTCCAATGCCTCTCATTCAAATAGTTTAATGACTGGATTCAATGTCATGGAGAATATGGCTATAAAAAAATATTAAAAAAAAACCTAAAAGACAATCTCGATGAATAAATAACTCTGAAGACAAACAACAATGGACCTGCATTATATAAAATTATTCATGAATATAATTAATTGTCAATATTTTCTTAGTGAGATTGCTTAATGTAATTGATATAATATAACAATACACAGAAAAACAACAAAAAGAAGGGCATTTAGTCTAGTGGTATGATTCTCGCTTTGGGTGCGAGAGGTCCCGAGTTCGATTCTCGGAATGCCCCTAAACCTTGCTGGCTCTGGTTTTATCTTTTTATCATGTGTATTAGGATTTGGTCCCCAGTTCGATTCTTGTAGGCCAATGCCAACTTTGTTTCTGTACTTTTATTTCTCTTATCGACAATGCTACGTGGCTCAAATGGCCAAAACGACGTCGTTTTGGCCATTTTTAAAACGACGTCGTTTTGAGTACAGAACAACATAAAAATGGCCAAAACGACGTCGTTTTGGCCATTTGAGCCACTTTTGAGCCACAAAATTTGAGCTACGAGACATTTTCCTTCTCTTATTTTTAAAAAAGTTACTCTCTTATGACCAAAAATAAAAAATCAAAATTCCCTACTAGTTAGAATTCGAAAATATCCTATTAGTTAGCTAACAATTGTGGTATGAACGCAAAAGATTTTCATATCATGAAACATAAATGTGAGACAAAAGTTGTACGTGAAACTCACCCTTGTTGGAAACAACATTTTATTAGAAAACTGAAGAATATACATACCATACATTTATATATATGAAAATAAGTTAGTGAAGCTAATATGAATTTAGTGTTAGATTAGGGTAACAAATGGGCTAAGTTAGGCTTATGAAGGGGTCATATAGATAGACACAAATACCTGTTCCTGTTTGCAACTTCACAAAGTTAAACTTGTTCTTTTGTAAGATAATGTCTAATCGTAAAGTTCACTGGTAGCATCATCCATGGCACAGGTTTGAGCTAGGAAAACTCTGTTCAGAGATGGTATATATACATCTTACTCTCTCCAAACCCAACACCTACATGCAGTCTGATTATATGCCCTTAAAGCAGTCACACACATTCGCAGTTACACACTAAGTTCTTCAAAATATTTAACCAAAACTTCATTCAAATCATATGCATTGCAAAGTGTCAAATCAATTATTCCATAGAACAATTCAAATTTTGAAGAACTGATATTTTCATTTTCCCCTCAATGGGAACTGATAGAACACAGCGCAGCAACTACAAAAACAAGCATAAAATTTCATTCCATAATGGCAACTCCTCCTGCAGCCTTTACCTTCTCGATTATGTCATTTGCCTCCTCTTTTGTGACTCCTTGTTTGAGCACAACCGGCGCTTTTTCCACCAAATCTTTCGCTTCCTTCAATCCCAAATTTGTAAAAGCCCTAACCTCTTTGATGACCTTGATTTTTGCAGCGGCGTCAAATTTCTCCAACTTAACATCAAATGCCGTTTTCTCTACCTTCTTCTCCTCGGCCTTTGCAGTGGACGGCCCTCCCTGGGGACCCACATCCATGCCTTCTACTGAAATCGGTTGCATCTTGGGATGCTTGAGTCTCTCCCTAAGAGTTGGACCGATTTGAACACGCTCTTCGGTAGGTAGGGAAGCAATGCGTTCAGCGAGCTGAATGATTTTATCGGAAGGTGGGGGTCTAGGGCCATATGGGTTGTAGAAGGCTGGATATTTGAACCGTTTGGGACTTGCTTTGGGATCTCTAGGAACAAAGTCAGGTTGGAATGATCGAGATTGTAAAGGACCAGTTATTTCAGGGAGAGTAGGATGGGGACGAATGGTTCTAACTAGTGCTATGAACTTCATGGTCTTGTTAATTAGTGAAAATGCTCATGGAATGAAAAGGGGGTCAATAAAACCTATTTGTTATGTACTTGCCATATAGATATAACCATGGGATGGTAGCTTCTAATTTCTGATGCAATTGAAAGAACTCTTACCTGAAAAAGAAAAGAAAAGAAAATATAAGCCAAACAATCATCACCTTTTCCAGAAGAATATCCCTTCCCGTGCCACCCAATCCAAAAAAAAAGAACAAAAAATGGCTCAACAAAATAAGGTAATTAACATTCATTTGGCTACCTAAAAGAATAATGACAACGATAAATATCACAACTTAGATTCATCAAAATCCAAGAAACAAGAATCCAAGGAATTTCATCCCACTCTATCATATAGAAAGAGAAAAGAAACTAAAAGTAAAAAACAACGCATTTAGTTGCATTGCTTCTTTCTAGGGTGTTCGTTAAGGAATAAATAACATTAAAAAGAAAAGTTTGAATTCCAATACACATTTCACATATTCTCATACAATCTTTATATATTTCTATACACTTTTTTTACATATTTAAATACATTTTTTCACACATACAGTTATCATCTCCCTTTTATTAAAACAAAAATTTCGTTTCATTTCATTCCATTTGTTGTATAACAGAGTAATGTGTTTGGCACCAATATGTCTATTCTTAAATGAAAACACAAAACATGAACGTACTATACTTTTGATAGGTTTCTGATAATAAAAATAATCCTCAGAAAACCTAGCAAAAACAAGGAGACAGAGAAATCAAATATGCAGAGATTATTAACAGATAACAAGTTCAAACTTAATACAACAATCCACATAGAACGACCGAGCTATTAGTGGCTTAATACAACTCATTTCAGCTGCCAAACAATGGATTTTCCGAGAAAAAACAAAAACTCATATGCATATCGGTTAGGTATAGCTAGGGTGTGCAGTGCAGGTCGGTGCGGTGTAAGAGGAAATGTCATTTTAAAAATGTCATTTGAAATTGCCATTTTAAAACCGGTGGTTCGGACAGATTGGCCATTTATAAAAATATATATATAATTCAAATTACAAAAATTGAATCTAATAGTAAAAAGAGGTAATTTATAAATTAACTAAAATAGTCAAAATTAAAATAGATGTTGATTCATAAAATATAACAATCCACAAACGCAAATTAATAAACTATCATCAAAATCAAAGGGGAAAAAATATGTATATTTAAAATTCACAAACACAACTTAGATTAACATTTACAGAGTAGCATATTTTATTTCCAGATAGAACGACCGAGCTATTAGTGGCTTAATACAACTCATTTCAGCTGCCAAACAATGGATTTTCCGAGAAAAAACAAAAACTCATACGCATATCGGTTAGGCATAGCTAGGGTGTGCGCAGTGCAGGTCGGTGCGGTGTAAGAAAAAATGTCATTTTAAAAATGTCATTTGAAATTGTCATTTTAAAACCGGTGGTTCGGACAGATTGGCGATTTATAAAAATATATATATAATTCAAATTACAAAAATTGAATCTAATAGTAAAAAGAGGTAATTTATAAATTAACTAAAATAGTCAAAATTAAAATAGATGTTGATTCATAAAATATAACAATCCACAAACGCAAATTAATAAACTATCATCAAAATCAAAGGGGAAAAAATATGTATATTTAAAATTCACAAACACAACTTAGATTAACATTTACAGAGTAGCATATTTTATTCAGAAAATTAATTGCAACTTTAAAGTTTAGTTTAGTGGCTTCAATTTGAACATTAAAACAGTGAAGAAGGCAAACAATTCACATATTCTGATTCAACGTAAACAAGATTCAGTTCTTAATTGAAGAGGGGGGCCCGAAATTGGTACCTGCCGGAGACCCAATTGTAAGCTCCATTTGGGGAACCACGGCCGCTGATTTCACCGCCACAGACGGCGACACTACCACCGACGGCAGCTATTGGCAACGCTAGTAGCGGCAGAGGCAAGGAGCAGCAAGAGAGTTGAATGAGATGTTTTGGGGTTGTGAGTTAGGTTGAGTTGGGAATTGATTGTGTGTGTGTGTGAAAATCTATATAATAAGGAAGTATAGTTTTTGAATTGTGATGGGACTTTTATCCCTTTGTCAAAATGTGAACCCTTAGATTAATTCAATACAACAGTCACAAAATGTCTAAAGACAAATTATCTTTCAATGGTTGAGATTGTTTGTGCACATCCTACGGTCGATATACATTCTTTCCTTCCATACCTTTCTCTTCAGCTGTCTCTCTCTCTCTCTCTCATTCAAAATTCAAAATTCGACTCTCCCTCATCTCATTCTCAGGGCTCATAGATTGGAGGGGAGGATTTTCAATGTCAATAGGTCAGCTCTCTCTCTCTCTCTCACACACACACAGTTTCTTCAATATGAAACCCACCTTAGCAGGGTTTTCCCTTATGTGTATATTTATTGATTACAGTTTTCCTTAAAATGTGTATATATATATATATATGAGGATTGAAATGTGTATATATATTTAGATACATATTTATTTTTCACTATTGATTTGTAGTATTGTTGTGTATAATGTATATGCAGGACTTGCGTTGCGGCCGATACTCGGATGTCGACTGGTTACAGTATTCTCTCTCGCGATTACTCTAAGATCTGTAAACTGTACGCTCTCTTTATTGTTGTGTTTTTTATGTTATTGTATTTCTCTTAAGTGCTTATTATTCTGAATTGTAGTTAGATCAAGTAATTTTTGATGTGGGAATTACTTTTTTTTCAAACACTTTTCGGATTAATGTTATGAGGATTTTCCCTCTGTTTTTTTTTTTAGATGCATATAGGATTTGGGGTATATTTTTTTGGGTTTTGTTGATTTTTCTTATATATATATATAGACATTATCTATGTATATTAGTTGGTCTGAGAAGGGATATTACTTGGCAAAGAGAGGAGAATTGATTCTTGAGTGTTTTAACAGTGATTCTCAGCCCCTGATGGACATATTGTCAAACCAACTAAGAAAAGTCCGAGAGTGAGGGAATGGGAATTATATATCTTATTTGAGTTTTCTTCAATTAGCAATTACATTATTCATTTAAAAATCCTCATCGAGAACGAATTAACTTATATATATATATATATATATATATAACAAAACATAAAATTGCGTGAGAGACCAAGAAGAGGAATAAAATAAGATTTCAGTCTGTTTAGTAGTACTACATATAGATGATAAAATAAACTAAATTCTCACAAATAAGATTGGAGGTGAAAATAAACTAATGACTACAATGAGAGTAAAGCAATATCTGAGAGTGAGGGAATGGGAATTATATATCTTATTTGAGTTTTCTTCAATTAGCAATTACATCATTCATTTAAAAATCCTCATCAAGAACGAATTAAGGTATATATATATATATAACAAAACATAAAATTGCGTGAGAGACCAAGAAGAGGAATAAAATAAGATTTCAGTCTGTTTAGTAGTACTACATATAGATGATAAAATAAACTAAATTCTCACAAATAAGATTGGAGGTGAAAATAAACTAATGACTACAATGAGAGTAAAGCAATATTTGGGAGTGAGGGAATGGGAATTATATATCTTATTTGAGTTTTCTTCAATTAGCAATTACATCATTCATTTAAAAATCCTCATCAAGAACGAATTAAGGTATATATATATATACCCTTCCATCCATCTCTCTCTCTCTCTCTCTCTCTCTCTCTCTCTCATTCAAGAGCAGATCGGCGACTTCGCAGATGGACAGTTTGTTGGGTGCTAGCCTTGCTAGATCGGTAGGTCCAAATCAGCGTCCAAATCGGTGAGGTTCATCTCCAAATTTTTTTGGTGCTTCCCATACCATCCCTTTGTTTTCTTTGTATGTATATATATTGAAGCCGCAGAGATCATCCCTGTGTGTATATATATTGAAGAGTTTGTTGAATACTTGAATTTGTTGAATACTTGATATGATGAAGTGTGTCCGATTTAGTATGATTCTGAGTTGTTTTACCACATGTTCAAACCAGAAATATGTTGAAATCCCTGTGTGTATATATATTGGGATTATTGATTCTGATTATATAAATTTTCATGAAACTTTCCAATTTAGAGCTCATTGGGTTTCAGAAGCATTAATTTGTTACAACTGGTGTTATAAATGGGATAGCAGTTTTGCTAAGCTACCTATTGAGTTTTGAAAATGCATATTCTTCCAAACATGATTTCCATGGAAGAGCTTTACAATTAGTTGCACCGAAAAGTTCTCTATTTTGCTTAAGTTTAAAAACCCAAAAACCCAATGTGAATGTTTATGTAATTTCTGTTCTGTCACTAATTTGCATCGAAAGCTTTTATTATCTATATTTAAGTTTCAAACTTCATTTTTGAGTAATGTGTAGTAATATATGGAGAAGTATTAATTTGGGGTAATTGCACTGTAGTGGAATTCAGAAAAAAAATAAAAAAATAATATTCATGAAAAAATTTACAATTTTAATTATTAATATTTATAAAGTTTCTAATTGATTTTGTAATTATTGATTTTCATTTTCATTTTGATTATATTGATTTTGATGGGATTATATGAATTTTCATGAAACTTTCTAATTAAGAGCTTAAAAACTCAAAAATCCAATGTGAATGTTTATGTAATTTATGTTCGGTCACTAATCTGCATTGAAAGCTTTTATTATCTATATTTAAGTTTCAAACTTCATTTTTGAGTAATGTGTAGTAATATATGGAGAAGTATTAATTTGGGGAAATTGCACTGTAGTGGAATTCAGAAAAAAAATAAAAAATAATAATATTCATGAAAAAATTTACAATTTTAATTATTAATATTTATAAAGTTTCTAATTGATGTTGTAATTATTGATTTTGATTTTTATTATATTGATTTTGATGGGATTATATGAATTTTCATGAAACTTTCTAATTTAGAGCTTAAAAACCCAAAAACCCAATGTGAATGTTTATGTAATTTCTGTTCTGTCATTAATCTGCATTGAAAGCTTTTATTATCTATATTTAAGTTTCAAACTTCATTTTTGAGTAATGTGTAGTAATATATGGAGAAGTATTAATTTGGGGTAATTGCATTGTAGTGGAATTTAGAAAAAAATAAAAAATAAAAAATAATAATATTCATGAAAAAATTTACAATTTTAATTATTAATATTTAAAAAGTTTCTAATTGATTTTGTAATTATTGATTTTGATTTTGATGGGATTATTGATTTTACTTCATTTTTGAGTAATGTGTAGTAATATATGGAGAAGTATTAATTTGGGGTAATTGCACTGTAGTGGAATTCAGAAAAATAATAATAATAATAATAATAATAATAATAATAATAATAATAATAATAATAATAATCATGAAATTTTTTTTAATTTTAATTATTAATATTATAAAGTTTCTAATTGATTTTGTAATTATTGATTTTGATTATATTGATTTTGATGGGATTATATGAATTTTCATGAAACTTTCTGATTTAGAGCTTAAAAACCCAAAAACCCAATGTGAATGTTTATGTAATTTCTGTTCTGTCACTAATCTACGTTGAAAGCTTTTATTATCTATATTTAAGTTTCAAACTTTATTTTTGAGTAATGTGTAGTAATATATGGAGAAGTATTAATTTGGGGTAATTGCACTGTAGTGAAATTCAGAAAAATAATAATAATAACTGTAGTGGAATTTAGAAAAAAAATAAAAAACAAAAAATAATAATATTCATTAAAAATTTTACAATTTTAATTATTAATATTTATATAGTTTCTAATTGATTTTGTAATTATTGATTTTGATTTTGATTATATTGATTTTGATGGGATTATTGATTTTGATTATTGATTATTGATTTTGATTATATAAATGCTAGGGTACATGCTGCTCTATTTGGTGCACTTTATGGGGTTAATTATAAACTGAAAAAAATATATATATTGAGAAAGAAAGGGATACTTTATTTTAGTCTCTGTTTTCATCCCTTTGTTTTTTTTCTTTAAAGCCACAAAGACCATCAATTGAAGAGTTGGTTGCACTTTCTATATATTGATTACAGATTTTTATCAATTTTTTTCTTTGTTTTTTTTTTTCTGTGAGTATTATTTTTCTTTAATTTTGGGTGCACTTTTATGGGTTTTTGTTTATTTTTCTTATACAAATAATATATACACATATATATGAAGAGTTGGTTGGGTTTTTGAGTATTGTTTATTTTTATTTTTCTTACTTTGATTTAGTAGGAATTTGTGGGTTTTCTAAGTTTAGGCTTAAGCTACAATTATGTTGGTATAGAATTGTTGGTTTTCTAAATTCTATACCTTTCAGATTCTATACGACATAGAATTGTTAGCAAAATTCTAGAATTGTTGGTTTTCAAATTATATATTATTCTTTTCTTTTCTTTTTTTTTTTTTGGACAAATAAACAAACTTTATTAATATGATGTACATCCTTTTAAGAGTGGACATTATTAATTTCCCCTAATATATGAGAAATCAATACATGATAAATCAATATTTAGCCAAGAGAATGCATTAAAAATATATATATATTCAAAGAACAAGATTGAAACCTTAAACAAATAAACTATGGGTTTGTTGGGTGCTCTGTTCTGCAAAGTAAAAGTAACACTCTCATATCTTTCTTAATAGATTATTGTGTGTATATATATTAATTACAATTTTTTTTTTTCTTTGAAGCCATAGAGACCATCAATTGATCATTAGTGGAATAGAGAAAGAACGATTCCCAAAATCAAATTGTGAGTATTTTTTTCCTTAATTTTCTATATGCATGTAATCTCTATTTTCTATATGTTTTTCCTTAATTCTACTTTAACTATGTTCATTGTGGAATCTAATCTCTATTTGTTCTTAGTATTATTGATTGGTAGATTATTCATATTGACATAAAACAGTGCATCTTTAGCTTAAATTTTATATTATTAGTTTGGCATCTGCATATGTGTGTGGTTTTGATTGATTGCTTGAATTAAATGGTTTGATTCTTGAATGAGAGAAAGAGAGAGAGAGAAAGAGAGAGAGAGAGATGGATGGAAGGGAAGAAGAGATCTGCTCTTGAATGAGATCTCCTCTTGAATCAAAACAAAGAAACTCTTCTCTTGAACACCGTAGGATTGAATCACCATTTTAAATCCACCATTGGATTGATTCAATCTAACGGTTCACATTTTGACACAGGGACAACAGTTCTATCAAAATTCAAAAACCACTCTCCCTTATTATATAGTCTAGTGGATGCCCGTGCCTTCGTGCCTGAAAGCACGGTATAAATAATGTTGGTATCACATACTTTACAAAAATTAATTAAAATAAATCAATTCAAAATGGTAACAATTTCACTGCTATAGAAATCAACTGTAATAAATTAATTTAAAATGACAACAATTTCATTGCAATATAAAACTTTAAACATAAGTCGAAATAGCAAATTACAGTTTTGGCAAACTTTATAATTAAAGTTTAAATAGCAAATTTATAATATAAAAATGTTGTGTACAACATAAACAAAGATATTTACACCAATATAACACATGTACAGTGAATTAAAATGAGGCATCCTTCAATAAAAGAATGTCTAATTTAGTATTATAACTGAGTGAACATTTTGGTACAAAAGAGTAACCATCCTAGCTTTAAAAAAATAAAAAATAAAAAATAAGAAAAATTAATCATCCAATTTAGAATGAAAGAGCCAACCATCAACACGCATAGAAAAACAACACAATCCCAACATTTGTAAGGTAGATTAGTCACCTGCAACAAAAATTCACTTTAAAAAATCAATTAAAAAAAACAATCATATCAAAATACCTTTGAAAAACAAATAAACGAATGACAATGAATTTATAGGAATTAAACATATGATCAAGCACCTTTCAATTTAGTTCCCAAGTCTCTTGATTAGTGTATATCATAACTTGTGAGTTCAACTGTTGTTGCTTAATGAATATGAATTGCTAAGTATAACTCTTCTTTCTTTTCCTTTTCCAATTGAACATGAAGAATTTAACAATTTAGATAATACATGAAAACAAATGAAAATAAATAATTACATCTAATTTGGAATCCCATTACAGGTAGGCTCATGACAAAAAGTTTTGCCCAATTAATTATTATATTACAATTTATTCAAAATTCTCATTATCACTGTTTTTCTTTAATATACTCATCACAGCGAAAGAATGCGTAATGAAAAATCCAATAAAAAAATTTAAATACAAAGATATTATCTTCTGCAATATCATGGACAATTGCCACTTTTATACACCTGAATTTTGAAGGAAAAAACAAATTTAAAAGTCAAAGTCAAAATATATCACTCTAATTGAGTACCAAGGATTCACCAAAAAAAACCACAATTTATGTTAGTGATGAGAAGAGATCGAACAATTTATGTGTAATAAAGTTTTATATTTAGGTAGTGCCTAATAAAACGATTAGAAGGCTTTTTTAAATTCAACAATTAGAAGGCTTAACCATAAAGTGAAAATTACCACCACCTCAATAAGATAAAAAACTGGAATGATTGATAAGATTGTACTTGAGTGCTCAAAGTTGTGATCTAAAACATTCCCTAAAAAAAACTTGAATGCGGTTTTTTATTTTATTTTATAAACTTGGAGTGTCATAGGCACAGGTGGTTCTTTTACGATGAAATGTTGTTCTTTTACAATGAAATCATGAAACTATCATATTTATACCCAAAAGACAATATAAGTTTATTTTCCTATTGCTCAACACTATCAATTTAACTGAATTGAATCAATTTGACAAAGACATGAGTTATTACACATTGGTCTCCTATGCATTTTGTTAGTTTCTTTAGACTAAGAATCCAACTATCTAATTCAAGCAATCAATCAAAACCACACACAAAATAATATAAAATTCTAAACCTGCCAATATCAATAATATAAAATTTAAGCTAAAGATGCACTGCTTTATATCAATATCAATAACCTGCCAATCAATAATACCAAGAACAAAAAGAGATTAGATTCCACAATAAACATAGTTAAATAATTACACTATGAAAAAAATAGAATTTTAAAGTAGACTAACAAATAGAAGGCTTCTCTGTTAAACCAACTGATAATGATGAAATCATAAACAACCAATTAGAAGATTCTATGTACATAAGAAGACTTTTGTTTATGAGATTAATCAAAGATTGAAACACCACAGACCTATAGTGAAGAAATAACTCATTTAATAGTGCTATAAATAGATTGGGTTAAAATAACGATGGGTTGTACAATAACTATTTGATTACTTAATTGTGCCATAAGTTAAATGCAATGGGCTATTTCTTTCTCACTATAATTCTAATTTTTAACAATCAAATAAAAACATAAGATCACAGAACATTACTTTTCATGTTAAAAAAGGAAACCTAATTCACATATTTATCAAAATCACTCAAATCATTTATCAAAATAGTAATCAGGTGACTTCAATCTCATTTATGCTTTATTTGGTTCACTGGAATGAGATGAGATGAAATGAAATGGTTATTCCTTACACTTCAAGCTGATAAGTTAGTTTGGTCTGCCACAAAATCAGGTGACTTCCCAAGATTGCCACTATGGAATAAATATATTATACATATGTGTATATGTACATAATCTGATTAGAATAATAAATATTGTAAATTTAAGTAATAATAAAAAAGTCCCATCAAGAATAAATATTGTAAATTTACAAATAAAAACAAAAGATCACAGAACATTACTTTTCATGTTAAAAAAGGAAACCTAATTCACATATTTATCAAAATCACCCAAATCATTTATCAAAACAGTAATCAGGTGACTTCAATCTCATTTATGCTTTATGTGGTTCACTGGAATGAGATGAGATGCAATGAAATGGTTATTCCTTACACTTCAAGCTGATAAGTTAGTTTGGTCTGTCACAAAATCAGGTGACTTCCCAAGATTGTCACTATGGAATAAATATATTATACATATGTGTATATGTACATAATCTGATTAGAATAATAAATATTGTAAATTTAAGTAATAATAAAAAAGTCCCATCAAGAATAAATATTGTAAATTTAAACAAAAGTCCCATCAAGAATAAAAAATAGAGCATCCTTGGCCAGGAAAAAAGAATAAAAGACATGAAAGAGAATGTGCTCAAACTTCACCATTAAAAATCCATGCATAACACAATCCTAGTGAAACATTGTGGGTAAATGTTAGCACCAATTTACATAACCTGTTTGTGGGTAAATGTCATAACACAATCCTAGTGCATAATTAACACCAATTCAAAAATCCTAAGGAAAGAGAATGTTAGCACCAATTCAAAAATCCATGCATAACACCTGTTTGTGGGTAAATTTTAGCAACAATTTACAAAACTCACCCATGTCATAATGGGTATAATTAACCACTAATGAGGGAAAGATCCATGTAAGAATGATTTTGATAATCAAATTAAACAAAATAGTATAGCAATTTATGTGTGTTACTGAGATAATAAACATGAAAACAATATTTCTAATTAGCCCCCAATAATGACACATCAATGCTAATTGCAAGTATTTCTATAGAGACCTATTAAATGCTCAGATATGGAAAAATCTGAGCATTTAAAATCTTTAGGTTCTTTTTCTTAAGGCCCAAGACACTAAATATTGGCCAGGGAAAAAGAATAAAAGACATGAAAGAGAATGTGTTCAGACTTCACCATTCAACAATCCACAAATGGTGATCTAATAAAAAACGTGATCTAATCAAAAACTCACAAATGAAACCAGATCAATAGTAGAAAATGCTAGAAAAGTTATGATGAAATTCAGTCAATGGTGGCAAGTATTCCAAAACCAAATTTCAATCATCACCACAACATCTCACACCTTCAATTCAACTTAAAAAAATAACAATTTTCTATTTTGAATTCCACACAAATTGAATCCAAAACCAAACTAGTATAAAATTTAAACAAAGGTTACATGCCTTAACCACTCTCCCTTATTGAGATTTAGTTGAGAGAATGAGGAAGTGAATCAACAACTATTAACAATTCTACTGAAGCTCTATTCAAAATCACTTAATAACAAAGGTTACATGCAAAAACAAAATTAAATGTCCCAAATGAGCAATACTCAACAAAACAGCCCCATCCACAAAAAAAAAATTAGTTCAAACTTCCCAATTTCATTTGATTATTCAAGTAAAAATGATAAAATTTACAATGAAATCATGAAGCTGTCCTATTTATACCCAAAAGACATTATACATTCATTTTACTATTACCCAATACTATTAATTTAACTGAATTGAATCAATCTGACAAAGATATGAGCTATTGCACTTTGTTTTCCTATGCATTTTGTTAGTTTCTTTAGACCAAGAATCCTAATTCAAGCAATCAATCAAAACCACACACATATGCAGATGCCAAACTAATAATATAAAATTTAAGCTAAAGATGCACTATTTTATGTCAATATCAACAACCTACCAATCAATAATACTAAGAACAAATAGAGATTAGATTCCACAATGAACATAGTTAAAATAGAATTAAGGAAAAACATATAGAAAATAGAGATTACTTGCATATAGAAAATTAAGGAAAAAAATACTCACAATTTGATTTTGGGAATCGTTCTTTCTCTATTCCACTAATGATCAATTGATGGTCTCTATGGCTTCAAAGAAATAAAAAAAAAACAAAAAAAAATTGTAATTAATATATATACACGCAATAATCTATTAAGAAAGATATGAGAG